GGTGCCCGAAGCCCTCGGCTCCTGGCCTCTTCCTCCACCTGCAGAGCCGGCAGCACTGTGGCTCAGCTTCTCTCACCTTCTCACCTCTTGCACTGGCTCAGGCATCCCCAGGACACACTGGGGCCTGTGGTGAGGGTGACCCCTCGGGGCGGTCACTGAGGCCAGCTGCAGAGGAGCTGTCAGCTCCTCTTCCATGGAGGGGACATGGCCAAGGCCCCGTGGTTGGGGTCAGAACCGTTAGCGGCTGTTAATCCGCTGACCCCAGTGCGTCCCCGAAGCTGGCGGCCTGGACAGCAGGGCTGAGTGTCCTGTGGTGCTTCCAGGGTGGCTCTGTCCCCAGTACCAGTGCCCTTCCCTGGGACCAGCACTCCTGGCCCCTCCTGGCATCAGTAGCAGCAGTCAGCAGTGCCCAGGGGCACATGCACTCTCTGGTCAGCTCTACAGGAAGCGAGGGCCTGCCGGGGTACAGGGCCTGCAGCCCGGCCCCCAGACCTACCCAACAGCTGCAGCCCCTCACTGCGGGCTTGGGCTCTGGAGGCTGAGGCAGGAGGACCTCAATTCCAGCCCAGGCTGGGCAGCGAGTCCCTGGCTCGAAACACAAAATAAAAGCCAGCGTGGGCCAGGTGTGTGCAAAGGCCCTGGCTCCATCTCCAGGGCTAAAAAATAATAAAAACCCAAGGGGCCCTGCTGCGGTCACACTGGAGTCGCCTGTGAAATTCTGCTTCCTCCCTACGGTGCCAGCCGCGTGCACAGCGTCGCCCGGTGGTTCCACGCACACGACTTCCGCGTCTGGCGCCCCCCCTCCCGGTGGCCTGGGCCAAGACAGCGCTGACGGCTGTCACGGGGTCTCCGAGGACGACGTGAGGGAGCACGCACAGCGGGGTCGGCCTCGCCCTTGCAAATGCGACCAGGTTGAGCCCCAGGGCTCAGGAAGTGCAGAGGTCGCCTGTGGCCGGTGCGGGGAGGGGACGGTGACAAAGGACACGCAGGCCGCGCGGGTGGCCCGCAGGAGGGTCCCCCGCAGGGCTTGCAGCCTCAGGGGTGCTGCCCAGAGCTGGGGACCCCAAATGCCCCCTGGCCCAGTCCGGCCTCTGTGACCTCCGGGCTGCACCGAGGAGGGGGCAGAGGGGGGAGGAGGGGGGAGGGGAAAGGAGGAGGGGGGAGGGGAAAGGAGGAGGGGGGAGGGGGGGCAGCGGCGTCTGAAACACGGGGGCTGCTGCAGACGCACAGGGACCCCGAGTCCCAGCACCCTGCACGCGCCTGAGGCTGCAGGGCCCCGGCCAGCGCCCCCTGCCGGCTCTGGCTCAGCTGTGGCGCCAGCTGGTGTGGAGGAGGAGCAGGGACGGTGGGTCCCCCTCCCCTCCCTCCTCTCCCCTCCCTCCCCTCCCCTCCCCTCCCCTCCCCTCCCCTCCCCTCCCCTCCCCTCCCCTCCCCTCCCTTCCCTTCTGTCATTTCCCTCCGTGCTGGGGATGGAACCCGGCGTGTGCCCAGAACTCCATGCCCGGCCCTTTCTGTGTTTCATGAGACAAGGCCTTGACAAAGTTGTAAAGTTGCCCAGACTGGCTTCCGGTTTGCAATCCTCCTGCCTCAGGCTCCTGGGGAGCTGGGATGGCAGGCATGTGCCCCACGCACAGCCTGAGTTTCCTTCCTCTTTAAGGCTGTGTTGCAGTCCCCTGCCTGGAGAACGTGCCCTGTGCGGTGCCCTGTGCTGGGACACCTTGTTCTCCCCCGGGGCCGCTGTCAGTCCCGGCTACGAAGTCCCTCTTCACTTTGAAAGTGCAGCCGCCTCCCACACCTTCCCACCCCGTTCCCCATGCTGGGACTGTCCCCCTGGCCGGGAAGGGGGTCCGGGAGGGCTCTGGGGGCCTCTGCTGGAGGGCAGATGGCTGGAGCAGCCCGGGGACCCCAGATGCCCTGTGACTAAAGAGCCAAGCATGCTCGGTGGCTAGCGTGGTGGCGCACGCCTGTCATCCCAGCTCTCAGGAGGCTGAGGCAGGAGGGTCCTTGCAAATTCAAGACCACTCGGGGCTACAAAGTGAGCTCAAGGCCAGCCTGAACAGCATAGCGAGACCCGGTCTCAAAAAAGACAATAAATAAATTAATTAATAACGAGCCAAGTGCTCAAATCCAGCGCTGACCCTGTGCTGTCTTTCATGGCAGAGCCTCAGTTTCCCCACCTGGAAAAGGGGGCCAATGAGTACGCTCCCTGGGACTCCTAGGGGAATGAATCCAGCCGAGGAGCAGGGCCTGGGCTGTGGGATAAACCAGGGACGTTTGCTGGGGTGCTCAGGGGGTGGGGGTGAGGAGGTGAGGGGACACAGAGGGGAGGTGTGCCAGCGGCCAGGGCGGCTGGGGGAGGTCTGAGGGCTGGGACAGCCCGGCTGCAGCTGGTGGATCACCTGGGGCTTTTTGCTAAGGTGCAGGCAGGTGTGACTGGGGGGGGCCTAATCCCCGCAGGCAGCCACGTGGCTGCAGCCCGAGCCCGCGAGGGTGACATCTAAACCAGTGCAGCCTCCTCTGCTGCCCGGGCCCAGTGAGCGGTGACACGTGTGCATGCCAAAGGGCCAGGCTGGGGTGCACTCGGGGACCCCACGATTGCTGTCCTGGTCTCAGGGCTGGGGGTGGGAGGGCGGGGCCTGCCACCCCCTTCCCCACCCCGGGAGATGCAGGAAGATGGGGACAGAGCTGAAGCCCAGAGGTCAGCTGCCCGGCAGAGACATCAGGTGTGGGGCGGCTGGGGGAGGGGAGGAGGAGGCCCGCAGCACCCCCGAACTGAAAGTTAAGGGTTGACTGACAGCTCGTCATCCGGGAAGCCTGCTCCTGTGGACCAGCCCTGTGGCCCCAGCAGAGGCAGGAGGACGGCACGATGGAACTCAGCCCGGGCGATGGAGGGGACCCTGTCTGAAAATTTAAAACTAGGTATAAAGGGCCAGGTTGGAGATCAGTGTGAAGGCCGTGGGCACCCCAGAAACAAAACCCCAAATTAATGCAAAATAGTCACATCAAATAAAATAACGATTTTTAAAATTAAAGATAGGCTGAGGCAGGAGGATCGCTGCAAGGTTGAGGCCGGCCTGGGCTACACAGTGAGTTCAAGGCCAGCCCGGCTACACAGAGACCCTGGGCCACAGAAAGAACATAACAGAGCTGGATTTTTTTCCCCCAACTTCAGACAGGGTCTCACTGTGTGGTTCAGCGTGGCCTTCACCTCATGGTGAGTGTCCTGCCTCAGCCTCCCCACTGCCGTAATGACAGGCATGTGCCACTGCGCTGCCTCGTGCCTATTGTAAGCACCTCCAGGTTTGTAGTTTAGTTGGGGGGCGAGCTCAGGAAGCTGGGGGGTGTGGGAGTGTCCTGCACCGGTCTTTCCGGGACCCCCAACCCCTCCTCTGGTCCCAGATGACACAGCCACGCTGGTCAGGCCCCGAGTCGTCCTTGGACCTCCAGTGTCCCCTGCAGTCCTGGCTGCAGCTGGCGTTCAGAGCGAGGAGGGGAGGAGAAGGGAGTCTGATCCAGGCCGAGGCTCCCCACCCCAAAACCTGCCCTGCCCCCGCCAGGCAGCCGGCAGGAAGCAGGTAACCAGGTAACCAGAGGGAGAAGCCCAATCTGTCTTTGCCTGTGGTACCAGGGTAGGGGGGATCCCGGCGCCCTCACACCAAGCTCCATTCCTGGCCCTTTTTTATTTTTAGATTTTGAGGCAGGGTCGTGTTCATTTACCAAAGAGTCCAGGCTGCCCCCACCTCCGATCCCCCTGCCTCAGCCTCCAGAGTGTGCACTGGGCCGGCTACAGCATTCAGACACCCAGCGGGGCCCAGAAATCCCAAGGGAAGTTAGCAAACACGGAGGCCAAGAAACGAAAGCACACGGCGGCCGGCTGGCGGACCGGGGCCAGCTCTGGGGAGAAAGCACCTTGGCCAGGGCTGCAGCCGGCCCGCGCTAACTGGACCGGCGGGCGGGAGGGAAGCTCAGAGGGGCAGAGGCCGAAACTCCACCCCAGCGGGAAGGAAGCTGCAGAGATGAGACACGCTAAACGGAGAACAGAGAACAAGAAACCGAAAGTTGGTTCTTTCAAAAGCTTCGTAACCTTTAGCTAGACGTTCAAAAACCCCAGAAGATGGTAAGTTACAAAAACCTAGGCAGAGGCGAAAAGGGGGCGTCAGTATCGCTTTACAGAAACCAAAGGGAGGAACAGAGCAGAGAGCTGTGGACACCTGGACCGAGCAGGTTCCAACTCAGGGCCGGCCGCAGTGGCTAGCAGACTTCCAGGGACACACGAATGACTAGCCCGGATGCAAACTGAGATGTCAGGTGGGCAGCTGTGCGCTCCCCAGCACCCCTGGTGTTTTGAGACAGGGTCTTACTGTATAATCGAGGCTGGTCCTGAACTCACTGTGTAGCCCAGGCAGGCCTGGGACTGCTGGAGATCCTCCTGCCTCGGCTCCCCGAGTGCTGGGATTACAGGTGTCACCACCACACTGGTTTGGCCTTTTTTTTGTTGTTTTTAATCTTTTTGAGACGGTCTCGCTGTGCAGTCCAGGCTGGCCTTGGGCTCACTTTGCAGCCCAGGCTGGTCTGGAACTTGCAATGACCCTCCGGCCTCAGCCTCCCGAGTGCTGGGGTGACAGATGTGCACCACCACGCCCGGCTCACTTTTTTTTTTTCACTGTTATGTTCTGGTTTCACCTTTGCAACATTCTTCCCAAGCGGGGAGCATTATGTTCAGCACGGGAGGTGACAGGAATGCCCCCAAAAGTTGGAACTGGTACACAGATTGAGTTCGGAGCCCAGAGCTTGTTTGGGGGACACAACCTCCCCGTGTGTCACACGCACGTGAAATGCCGTGGCGGGGGCTGAGAGAGAGCTCTCCCTGGAGTGTGCCCAGACCCAGGCTCCTCCCCAGAACCAGAAAAATAAAAATACTTTGGCTTGTTTTTTTCCTTTTTTCTACAAAACAAAGGAAGATAAACTCATGGGAGAAAGAAAAAAATAAAGCAACATACCTGTATGTGTTTCCCAGGAAGCACTGATTTCTATCCTGTAGTTAACAACAGGGGGAGAGAGAGTCAGTCAGTTACCGCCAGACACGGGGCTCCCCTAGCTGTCCTGCTCCCCGTGGGGAGGGGGAATCAACTTTTCTTTTGATATATATGCAGGTAATTTAACCCAGGATTTCGCACCCAGACACATTTCCACTTTTAAATTCTCAAACAGGGTTTGCTAAACCACCCAAACTGGCCTCAACTTCTGACCCTCCTGCCTCAGCCTCCCAGCCTGACAGCTGTGCACCACCACACTTGGCGTGACTCTGTCTGTCTGTCTGTCTGAGACAGGGCTGCATTTTGCAGTGCAGGCTGAGCCGTGAACTCCTTCTGTAGCCCAGGCTGCCCTGGAACCCGAGCCAACCCTCCTGCCTCAGCGTCCTGCAGGCTGAGATCACAGGCGTCCGCACCACGCCCCACAGCCGGCCTGGGTCTCATTCTCGGCTCTGTTCGGAGCCCTGACTTTGTTTTTGTGTGTGTTTGTTTTCTTCCCAGAATGGGGAAGAAAGGCCAAGTTTTCTCCTGAAACTTGTATTATTCCATTTCAGGTTCTGGGCCCTGGACCGGCCCATCCTCCGGAACTGAGCCTCCTGCTCCGTTTCCCTCTCTGTTTTCCACCCTTCCGTGGCCACGTGCTGGGCGAGGGGACAAAGCCATTGACCCTGGAGGGCGGGAGGACAGGTCCCAGCCGGCCCTGGTCAGGCGGGAGCCAGGATGCGGGGTGCATGGGGCCCTGCCCAGGGTGGTTTGGATGCAGGCTTCAGGGCAGCTCAGCCTCCTGCCAGGGTCCCTTCTGTGTCCCTGGTGTGGACAGCAGTGCTGACACCGCCCCTGAGGTCAGTGGGCCCAGCCCTGCCCCGCCGGCTTCCTGCAGCCCGGGACCAGGCTCACGTGGCTCCAACAGCGCCCGGCCCCTCTGCCTTTACAAAGGTTTGGCAGTCCCCAAACTGACGGGGTTTTTCCAGCCACACAAAAGGTGGCCGTGCCCGGCCCAGTGCTTTCTGGGCAGCAGGGGCCAAAGAGGCTCAGGGTCCAGCACAGGACAGCAGGGCTGGGGCGGCCCGGGGCTCCCCTGCTCCGGCACAGGGCGGGCCCACAAAGGCACGCGGGGACTGGGGGGCGTCCTGCACCCTGCAGACTGCTGAGCTCTCAGTGGTGACAGCCACTGGTGTCCCCAGACCCAGCCAGGGAACTAAGGCACTCAGTGCCAGACCAGCAGGACACAACTTCCCGCCCAATGTGTTCAGCTCCGACCTCAGCCGGGCGTGGTGGTGCGCCCCGCCATTCTGGCACTCTCGGAGGCCGAGGCAGGAGGATCTCAAGTTAAAGCCCAGCCTGAGCACCCTGGCGAGACCGTATCTTGCAATTAAAATGGGCTGGGAAGGTAGCCCTGGGGTCCACCTTCAGTACCCCCCAAAAGAGAAGCTGCGTATCTGGGTGTCACTAGCTTGTATGCACTGTTCTGGGGATCCCATCCCAGACACCCCCTGGGGATGTGAGTTTCGTGCCTGCACTGGGTACTTCATAGATTCGCCCCCGACGGCCGCTGCGGGTTCTGCAGGGAGCTTTGACTCCTGTTTGGCTGGTACTGGAGATCCAACCTGGGGTGCTCTCCCGCTGAGCTGCCCCCAGCCCTTTTTATTTTTTTGAGACAGGGTCTCTGGCTTGAACTGGAGATCCTCCCGCCTCAGCCTCCCAGAGTGCTGAGATGAACGGGCCCGGACACCTTTGCTGCTCAGCCTTAAGTGGAGAGGAGAAAAATACCAGAAAATACCAGAAACCCTGCAGACTTGCTGTGTGCAGGACGGGGTGGGCACAGATGTGGAGGTCCCCCATCCTCTAGATTTCCTTGGACCCGCGTGGGTGGAGCTGAGCCCCTCCTGCTAGGCTCCTCTTTCTGAGAAGTGAAACTTGAGATCTTCTCAGAGAAAGGCCCCAGGGGCCCGCTGTCACCTCCTCGGGAGCTGCCACCTTGAGGCCCCTTCCGCTCCCCCCCAGGGTGGGCACCTTCACGCCACAGCGCAGGCCAAGGCCTGGAGCGGGAAAGGGCTGGGCAGTGCCCCGCGTCTGTCCCTGTAGGCCGACACAGGGAGCTCTCCGCCACCAGCGCAGCTGTGGTGGTGACACGGGGGGAACCAGGGCCGCTCTGGGCACCGAGATGCCAGCTGGGTGCTCCGTGGAGCGTCCTGGACGAGGGTGACAAGGTCACTTCTCGGAAGCCCTTAGCGGCCCCATGGGTGGTGAGCGTGACCGCTCAGCTCCCCTCCGTACCTGCCCGCCCTCGCCTGTCCAGCAGGGCTGGAGCCTCTCAGCACTGGGTGGACGGCGCAGTGATGTCACAAAACACACCCTGGAGAAAACCCAGGTGGCATCTGGGTGCAGGCGGTAAGCGGACAGTTAACAGAGTGGGGGCCTGTCTTGGGTTCATTTTTCATTGTTTGAGACAGGGTCTCCCTAAGCTGCTAAGTGGCCCGGGGCTGGCCTGGAACGTGGGATCCTCCTGCCTCAGCCTCCCAGAGTCCTGGGATGGCGGGCGTGCACCACGGCACCCGGCACCGGTTCCTTTTAATGTAACTTTCAGCTGAGGAAAAGAGTGTGGGTCAGTTCTGGGGGGCCAAAGGGCGCCCCTTACAGCCCAAGTTCCCTCGGGGCTCAGACCGTGACCTGGGGCAGTGTGCTGAGCCCTTCGAAGCGTGCACCCAAAGGTTCCGGTGTCTACATGGCGTGGTCACAGCTGTCGCCCCGGAAGGAAACCCCATCGCCCAGGCAGGCAGCCTTGGGCCTGACATCTGCCACGCTGCTCCCCAGAGTTGCCCTTTCCAGACACTTCTGCTGGGCCGCCGAGCTGTCTCTCCAAGTCCGAGGAATTACCTTTAGAGTCGTTCCCACACAGCTCCACAGAGCCTAGCACAGTAATCTCGGTGGAATATTATGGAGTCCTGAAAAGGGCTGAGACACTGCCTCGCCTCACGTGTGATACTCTGGGCAGAGGGCGCTGGCCAAAGGAAGAGGGTTCCTTTATCACCATGCATCACGCAGTCACAGAACAAGGCTCCTCTTCCCTTCATGCTGCTTGAACCGGGGACAAGGAGCGGGTGGGGGTGGCAGTTCCTAGAAGATTGGGGGCCTCATCTGGGTCCCATTTCCTTCAGCTGTGTGTCCCTGCACGAGTCCCTCTGGGTCCCCCGCAGAGAGTGAGCTGAATGTGGATTATTTATACTCCTCGCCTTGTGCAACAGCGTAAATACAGGAGAGGCCAGGAAGGCACGGCGTCCCTGTGATGGACACCAGTGTCAGGGACCAGCTGTCGCCTGCAGCCGGTTCTGCAGCTCTGCGGAGCCAAGAGCTCCAGGCTCGGAGGCCTCCCTTCCCCTGGGAGGGCTTGGGGTCCTCCTGTGTGGCCCACACCTGTCTCTAGGAGGAACCGCAGTGGCGCACGCCTGTCATCCCAGCTCTCTGGGAGGCTGAGGCAGGAGGATCTCGGGTTCCAGCTGAGCCAGGACAACTTAGCAGTTTACTGAGACCTTGTCTCAAAATAAAAACTTAAAAGGATGGGGCTGTAGCTTCCTCCGGGGAAGAAATGGTGGCCGGCGTCTTCGTCTGCCGCCGTCCTTTGGGGCCATCCTTTGGGACAATCCTCTGGGACCACGTGGAAGGCTGGCAGGCTGGGGACGCTGGCTGCTGGGTTGCACACGCAGACACGCAGATGCACAGCCCAAACTCACCACCTCTGGTGGCCGAGGTCCTGGGGCTGAGGGACCCTGAGATCAAATTTCCAGCTCATGGTGGTGGCAGCCTCGCTCGGTGAGGGTGACATGCCGGCAGGCAGCCCAGGAGGTGACAACAGCCAGCATCCCCTGACCCCGCAGTGCAGCCTTCACCCCAGCAGGGGCAGGGTGGGGCTGGGGACCCCCAGGCTGTGTCCTCCAGGGTCACATCTGAGCTGGGGCGGGACAGGCCTGCAGCCACGTGAGGGCCGGGGGCCGGGAAGTGGATTCGCTCGTAATTCTTGGCCCTGCGTCCGTCCCGGGACCCTCCTGCACAGGGCTGACCAACTCTTGGAACTGCACCAGAGGAGGCCGACCACGGCCACCTGGACGGCTGGGGCCTGTGACTTCCCTGGGGCACGGGCCCCCATGAGGACCCCGACACTGATCTGCCCGCAACATCGCTGCTACCCCATTTTGACCCTGGCCTGGGGGTCCACCCTAGCCCCTCTGGGATCTGGACAGCTGGGCCACGGCGGGGGGGGGGGGCACTGGTCAGGGGACACGGCTGCCGCGGCTGGGGGAGGCACGCAACTCTGGTCGGAAGTTATTCTGGGTGTGTTTCAGGTTCTTTTGACTTTTTAAGACCCAGCCTCGCTAAGTCCCTGAGTTGTCTGGGCTGGGCTGGAGCACGCGACCCTCCTGCCTCAGCCTCCCAGAGGGCTGGGGCCCCAGCAGGAGCTGTTGTGCGTTTGCCCGAACCCCTCCCCGGACGAGACTGAGTTTACAGAAATCCTGGAAGTCGGGGCCACGCAGCCGGCAGGGCGGAGCGGGGCCTCGAACCCTGGTCTCCGGAGCCCTGGGACCCGGCCTGACCTCCCATGTGGAAAAGCACAGGCCTGGCCTGCAGCCAGCGTCCCAGGTCCCAGGCGGGAGAAGCCAGGAAATAACCGGAGGCGGAGGCGGGTTCACGGGAAAGCATCCCAGGAATGCAGATCGCTCCGGGGCGCACGCACCGCACCGCACGGAGGGTCCCAGTCCCTGCTCCAGCCTGGGCCCTGCACTCACGCCCCTGTCCCGGGGCCTGGCCCAGGTCGCAGGGTGGCCCGGGGACGGGGTGGCACACGGGTGGTTTCCAGCCGCCTGTGTTTACGGCAGCAGGGCAGAGGGGAGAGAGCACCATCAGCAGCCACCAAGGCCAGCTGCCGCCTGCCAGGCACCCTCGGGGGACGGGGGACGGGGAGGTCAAACCGCAGCAGGTGGGGGGGGGGCTGCGTCCCCCAGGCAGGTGCTTCTTTGCTCTGCATGCAAATGGCTGGCGTGAGCCCCCGTTTCTTGGTAACTGAGTGTGACAGGCAGGGTGGCCTTGAAAACACACAGGTGTCCCCCCCAGTCCTGAGCCGGGGAGTCTGGGGTCGGGGTCCATGCAGGGCCATGCTGCTTCCAGGGGTGGAGGTGGGGGGGTCCCTCCTGCCCCCTCCTCTGTCCCCACGGCCCCAGCCACACTTGTCCCGTGTCCCGGGACCCCGCCAGACCCCTGTACCCCGAGCCCACAGAGTTGAGGGCAGAAGAGCCCGCCTGGTCCCTGTCCTAGGGGCACCTGCCCGGGGCCCCAGCCTGGAAGGACACCCCCTCTCCTCCTCCCTGTCCCCACAGAAAGTGGCCTGGTCCAGGTGACAGTGGCTTCCTCCTGTGACACAGCCCACGAGGTGGCCGAGGCCCTGAGATCTCAAACCGCAGGGGGTGAGGGCCAGCCTGAGCCACAGAGCAGGATGTGGGGATCCCTGAAGGTGGTAGTGGAGTTGGACCCCAAGTGCTGGTCACCTGTATCCCACTCCTTGGGGACAGATTTTCCTGCACCCTACTTAGGTGACAACACTAGGGCAGGACCCTGTGAGGCTCCCTCCCCAGCAGCCGCCCACTGGCCCCCCAGGGCTGAGTGGCTCAGGGCTGCAGGATCAGGGCTGCACCCTGACAGGGATAAGGCCCAGGCTCCATCGAGGCGAGGCGGGGCACCTGGTATTCACCCCCTAAGCGAGGCAGGGTGACAACTTGAGTGTGGGGGACCCCACTCACCACCCAAGTGAGAAAGCATACTAGGAAATACTCTGGCATCCGTGGATCTGAGGCCTAAACGCTGAGGTCCTCAATATGTAAAGATCTCAGCAAACCAAAAGGAGAGGAGTCAGCTTAGTAACGCTGCGCCCCGGTTAGATGCCAGCTAGGAAAATGGGCGTGAGACAGCGCTGCTCTCAGGAAACAGGAGGCAGCAGGGTCGCTTCTGAGATGCATTTTTGTTTTTGTTTTAGTGAAGCAGAGTCTGGTTTTGAGCTCATGGCGTGGCCCAGAACTTGCAGAGATGCTCCTGCCTCCGCCTCCTGAGCGGGTGCTGGGATCACAGGAGTGCGCCGCCACACCTGGCTTCAAAATATGCTTTACTAAACGTCTGGACCGTTATAGCGTCTCGAGATAGGAAAATTATGCTGGGCCACGATATGCTGGAGACACCAACCTGAACACACGCCTGTGGACACAGATCAGACAATCCGGAGACAGACACAGGGCACCGAGCAAGGGGCACAATTATAACCCTGGCACGTTCGCCATGGCCGAGTTTCGCCAGCAGTTTTGAAACAACACAGAAAGAGAGGTCGGCACCATTCTGTCCCCAGCTGCCGGGGGACCCACCTGCCTCAGCCTCCAGAATACCCCGGGTCTGAAGATTTGAAACAGAGGAGCTTCAGGAGCCTTTGATCTCAAAACCTGACCTTCTGTGCCTTTTACAGATAGCAGAGCCAGGTCGGCCAGGCCTCCGGGCTCAGAGCCCTGCGTGCACCGGGTGCGGGGGGAGGCCGGGGGGTGTCCCCCAGCTGCGAGGCCCCTGTTGGTGCAGGTGCGCAGTGCTGGGTCCTGTTCCCACCCTGCAGGTGGCGACAGCCATCAGGAGCCTGATGAGTTTGGCATCTGCTGCGGTCGGCCCCTCCCCTCCCCCACCCGCCCTCCCGCCAGCATGGGGGAGGGGCGCTCGCAGCCCCTGCGAGGTCCCCGCGCAGGTCCCCCAGGCCCCCCACCCTTCTCTCTCTTTTGCTATCCTGGGGTTGGAAGCCAGGGCCTTGGCACTGAGTGACAGGTCCAACCCATCTTTATTTTTTTTCTCTTGAGACATCTTCTGTGTGACAGTCACCAATGTCCCTGGACCTGGCCCAGTGTCCCCTGGTGGGGCAGCGTCCTCTGCCGCAGCACAGAGGCACTTGGGGGACACCTCCTGAGAGCCGGATTTAGAATCTCTGCTTGGAAGCCTGGCATACATCCCTAATCCCAAGCACGTGGGAGGCTGAGGCAGGAGCGTCACCGTGAGTCCCCGGCCAGCCCAGGCTACGCAGGGAGCTCAAGGCCAGCCCAAATGACCCCAAAATCAAACAACAATCTCTGCTCAGACCACATCACCTCCGCTTGGGACCGAGCCTCCCCCACCTCCTGGCCCCCTCCCACCCTGCCTGTGCCCGGCCTCTGCCTGGGAACTGAGGGCTCCCTTAGGCCTGGGGACAGATGGACAGATGGACAGGGAGCCCGTCCACTGTGTCCTGCTCTGATGAGAATCCCAGCTGCAGGACTGAGCCTGGGAAAGACCTCAGCGCCCGCGTCCCCAGCTCCCGGAGCTGTCAGATCTGACACCACCCAGGCAGGCGGGAGGAGGAGGAGGGGGTCACAGGCGCCCCACTAACGGCGGGGTGCAGAGCACAGCTGACCTGGGGGCCCCACAGAGGGGCGAGAAGGGAGAGCCGGCCGCAGGCTCCCTGGCTCAGAGTGGGGTGGGCACCGGACCCCAGTTTCTGCTGGGCTCCACCCAGCACTGGGGACCCCCCTCACCGACCTCAGCTGCTCCATGCACCGAGCTCTCCAGTGTGACAGCCACAGATGTCCCCGGGGGTCTCCTGGGGGCAGACTGAGCCTCCCCAGCTGAGAGCCCCTGGGTCTGGGGAACCCATGGACCCCAAGAGTCCCTCCCTCCCCGCCATCACCACCAAGGCCCGCGGTGACAGGTGACATCCACACAGGGAGAGGGGAGGACAGACTGACCAGGGGACGGACAGTGGACAGTCACACAAGACCAGGATGTTCTGTGTGCCCAAGCAGGGCGGGCACAGCTGGCATCCAGCCCTGCAGGAGGCTGAGCAGGAGGCTGCGAGTTTGAGCACACGGTGGGCAAATCTGCAAGATGGTATCTCAAAGTTTACAAAAAGGGAGCACGCTATGGATGGAGCTCAGTAAGAAGGGGGTGCAGAGGGCCCCCTAAACTCACCCCACCTGCTAAGACTATAGCTCTCAGAGGAGAGGGACTCTCCAGGGCCCCGGATGACACAGACCTGGCAAAACCATGGGCACTCCGGCCCCCACCAGGCCACCACGGGGCCACCTCCGCCGGGGTGGGGGGTGGCCACTGCCCCCCAGGACCCCCCAAGCTATCTTTTGCTTTTATTTTCTGCTTGCAAAAAAAAAAAAAACCCACCCGGCATTGTATTTTTAAATAATTAAAACTTCACAGGAAGTTGCAGAAAAAAAAGCCAGGCAGGATCCGGGGGACCCTGTGCGCACTCGGGGGAGACGGGCTGCATAATTATGGTTCCTATGGCAAGATGTTAAGGCGCTGCCCGCGGTGGCGGTGGCGGTGGCGAGGACGGCAGCCTGTCTTCTTTGCCAGTTTCCTGGACTTCCCTGTCCCTCGTCTCCACCTGCAGGTCCCCTTGCTGTGTGCGGAAGGCCCCCCCAATTTCCTACTGGGTGACTTTTATTTTGCTTTAAAAGGGTTCCTCATAGAGGAGAATCCGCGGGAGAGCGGAACCTGGGCATCTGCTTTGCTTACCGCCATGATCTCAGTGCTCGTCACAGAGGACACACGCCATCCTGCTTTACGGCACAGTAGTACTCCCGTGCGGCTTCCCGCATGCTCTCTACCCGGCCGTCACCTGTTGAGGGACGCGGGCCACTTCCGAGCTTCAGCTGTCCCCGCGGGCGATGTTAGAAGGTTCCTCCCCCGCTGCCCCAGCTTCGCCAGTACTTGTTGTTATTTGATTTCTGGGTGACAGCTGTTCTTTCTGGGGTGACTGGAATCTCGGGGTTGTTTTGATTTTCATTCTCTAGTGGACAGTGATGCTGGCCACTTTCCTTTCTCTTTACGGCCCGCCGCACTTCCTCCCTGAGAAATGCCCATTCATTTGGTTGCCCTTTTTTTTTTTTTTCCAAGTTGCCCGTTTTTTTGACGGGGTCTTACCTGGCTGGGCCTGATGTGGGGGATTCTTTGTAAATTCTAACCCTCCGCCCTGTAGCTTGCAATGTCCCCCTTCAGCAGGTTGGCTCTTCCTCATGTTCGCTTCCCGGGGCAGAAGCTGCTCCGTGTGATGTGATGCTGTTTGTGGGTTTTCTTTCCTTTTTTGTCTTTCTGACACGGTCTTTCAGGCTGAGCTCAGAGCAGCCCTCCTGCCTCAGCCTCCCGAGTGCTGGGACCACAGGAGCGCGCGACCACACCTGGCTTTGTATTGTAGATCTAAACCACAACACTCACCGCATCCACAGAGCACGGGACAAAGCCACACAGTCCTCTCCAACAGCGGACAGGGAAACCCCCAGTGGGGACAGCTCAGGAACGGAGGGGAGCTCTTTCAACCCGACCCCAGCATAAACACAACCCGCAGGCCCCGTCCCGCCCCACAGCGAAAGACTTGGTGCTTCTCACCAAGACCACGTGTGCAAACACAAAGCAGGTGCCGCAGCGCACCGCAGGCCGGCGATCCCAGTTACTTGGGGAGGCTGAGGCAGGAAGATCCCAAATTCGAGACCAACCGGGACAACTTTGTGAGACCCCTCGCAAAATAAGAAATTAAAAACTTCTCTGTGTGCAAAGGGCTGTGAACTGGGCTGTGTGCCCGCAGAGCTTCGGAGGCGCTGCATGTGGACCCCAGCCAGGTCCTGGGCAGCAGCTCCGCCCCTAAGCCAGGCGGGGCTGGGACTGAGCTGCTCCTGCACCAAGGCCACTGCCCGCCCTGCCCTGCCCGGCTCCGAGCGCCCCTGGACACAGAGATAACTCCAGGGCCCTGCGTCACCAGCCTGCTGTGCTTTTAAATCAACAGCCCAGGAGCCCGCGCGGGGCAGGATGGGATGGTCAAAAGGCTGCTGGGGAAAGGACAGCCGGGTGACTTCAGTCAGGAGCCGTATTTCTTCTCCATCCTCCTCTGACCTTGGTTCCAAGCTGCCTGCTGACGCAGCTCTGCTGGCCACGCCGTGGGAACTACACACGGGTGAGCTCCAGACGGGTGAGGGGCCCTGCTCCCCGCTGGCAGAGGATCCAGCCCCAGGACGGTGGTTCATGCCGTGCACTGCACCAGCTCCCCCCCCATCCTGCTGTGGCTTCCTGGCGCCATTTTTCTTCCCAGCTGCTCAGGGAGGAAGACATGGCTGACCCTGCTGTCCCCACCCCACGGGCAACATGACCTGCACAGTCACTTAAACCTGCCCCAGGGCCGGCGTGCTGGCCTGCATTGGTTTTCCCAGCACTTGGGAGGCTGAGGCAGGAGGGTCACGGGAAGGGTGAGACCCTGTCTCAACACGCCCACCCCAAAATAAGATGGAACCTTTCTCCAAGTGGGTTTTTCTCAAATGAGTGTTGATATCCAGATGTTATGTGCATTAAATCTCAGAGAAGCTGACGTCTGTATTTGTGTGTCTGTGTGTGAGCCCACTAACCCAGCTCTCGGAAGGACAGACCTACACACTGGAACTGTTACTAGAATTCGGGGAGGTGCGAATCCTGGTCCAACGCCCTCCCCACTCCTTCCAAACTGTCAACACCTATTTTTTTTCCCAGCGTGGAGACGCTGTTCCCTGGACTCCAGTGCTTGGTAACCTAGTGACCAAGCACCTTCCTCTGTGGAGAGCACAGAGGAACCACACTCCAGGGCCAGAGAACCGGCCACGCGGGGGTTACAGTGACCCGGGTCTCCTTGGCGTCGCTTTGGAGATGTGTGCGGGGTATTCCCGCGTGCTGGCAGGCTGTGCCGCCCCGTGGCCTGCATCCTCTCCTGGGAAATGCCAGCCACACACCACAGGGCATTTGCAGGGCCTGACCTCCACACTTACAGGCTGCAGGGCTCAGGGCCAGGGGAGAGCTGCTGTGGCCTGTGGGTGTCCGGGACGTGCCGGACCTTCGGCCAAGCCTAGCTTGATCTTTGGGTTTTTGTTTTTTAAAGGCAGGGGCTCACTGTACAGCTCAGGTTGGCCTTGAGCTCACTCTGTAGCCCAGGCTGGTCTTGAACTCAGTGATCCTCCTGCCTCAGCCTCCCGAGCGCTGGAATGACAGACAGCTGGGGTTTGGTATAAATTTGGAAGGTTGTCAATGACTAACAGAAATCTCAGTGCAGTCATCCTTTTGACTCTGAGTTTTTTCTTTTAGGAATTTAGTCCCTGGGCTCTTGAGAGATGTTCACAAAGTTACGCAGACAATGAGGCTTTCATTATAGCGTCAATGGTACAGGAAAACGGAAATGCTAGCGGCCTCGCCTGTCAATAATCCACCATAGCTACACACGGGAGAGCCCTCCTACGAAGCATGAGCCAGGCATGGCGCTGCTCACCCGGGATCCCAGCAGCTGGGAGGCTGAGGCAGGAGGGTCGCTGCAGACAGCCAGGAGCAGCTCCCAGAGCTCGGACTGAGGGTGAGGGGAGGTGCTGGTCGCCTCACCGAGAGGCCTGATTTATTTTTTCTGTGTGGGTGCTGGGATGTAAGAGTTGGGTTCTCACACACACCCCTAGCCCACCCGTTTTGGTTCTGAAGAGGGGGTCTCCCTAGATCACTGAATTGTCCAGGCTGGGGTCCTCCTGCCTCAGCCTCCCACAGTGCTGGTGACAAGAGACCAATCCCAGGAGACTTCCTGACACTCGGGCTCCAGGTAGATGGACAAGGGCTGGGGTTGGAGAGAATTCGCCAGGCTGTGCGAGGCCCTGAGTTCCAGTCCCAGCCCTGGGAAAAACAGAAAGCTCCGAGGTCCGGAAACCTCTATTCCCTACCTGACGGGTCCACAGAACGCAAACCGCGATATTGTTACTTAGGCGCCTCTCACCAACTGTGTCAGCTATCGGGTGCCTCAGCCTGCTCCAGCCTTTGCTTTTCGATGAGCAGTTTGCAAAGGAGGTCTAACGGGGCCTGAAGGTGTGGGAAAGTCTGACAGCGGGGCGGCGCACGTCTGCCACCCCAGCGTTCGGGAGGCTGAGGCAGGAGAAGCTCTGCGAGGTGGAAGCCAGCGTGGCTCCACATGGAGCTCGAGGTGGACCCGGCGAGACCCTGACTAGGATGCACCAGCATCAGACGCCGGCAACGACATTTCTAAGGTACAGAAATCCAAGCTGCACGAGCTCCCAGCTCACGTCAAGCTAGGAAAAAAGTGTGGCGTCTCAAAGTGGCCCCCAAAATGGGAAGCTCCCCCTTGGCCTGGCAACCCGAGGCACACAGTCGCCCCCCAGGCTGCCCTGGCAGACCCCCCCCCCCACATTTCCCTCCGGGAGGAGCCTGGGTACCCTCGTGGTGAGAGGAGAACACAGGAGCCCCCCTGCCTGCCTGCCCACCGGGGGCCACAAGCGGCAGAGCGAATCCAGCTGGCTTCCGCCTCCCGGCCCTGCTGGGCGGGGACCCCAGGCCTCCACACGCGGGGCTCCACCCTAGTCCTTTTGGTTCATTTCGAGCCAGGGTCTTGCTGAGGAGAACTTGAGATCCTCCTGCCTCAGCCTCCTACAAGTGCAGCGGCAACAGGCGTGTGCCAGCTGATACCCGGCAAGGAGAGCGTTTTAAGGGCTTCCAAAACTGCCGGAGCTTGGCTGGTGGCCCCTGGACCCTGGCCAGGCAGGTACCTCAAGCCCAGCTCCTACCAGAGTCCAGGACGCACGTGGGCAGTTCTGCCAGGGTGCCAAGTGATCGCTGTGCCCAGGTCCGCTTGGTGGCAGCAGAGCTCGGAGATGGCCCGGAGTCCCCTGGAAAGCCCCCCGATGACACAGCACCAGAGAGCAGACACAGACTCCTGCCTGACCTCCCCGTGAATGTCCTCAATGGCACCTTCAGCGGGAGCCGATCCGGGGAAATAACCGACTGCAGTCAGGAGAGACCGCCGCTCCCTGGGGTGGGGGCTGTGGGGGGCGTCCGGCATGAGCACCCGTGCCCCCCACTTTATAGTCAAGAGTAGGACAAAAATAAGCCCCGTGGACAGGGTGCGGAGTCCACCTGCCATCCTGCAGTTCTGTTCACAGGGCGCGTGCCGGAGAAAGATGGGAGCCGGACGGGCAGTTCTTCCCGCCTACCGTTCAGCGATGGTGTCCGCAGGGTGTGCACCGGACGCGAGACGGGAGGTGCAATACATTCGGTCTCTGCCTCAGAGTCGCTCAGTGGAAGCCGCCCAGCGTGTGGTGACTATTTCTATCCCTATTTCCAGAGGCACAGATTCTATTGCTTGCAAGACGTCTGCTTCCATAGCTGAAGGTCCAGCGGGTTGTCCCCAAAACCGGCCACGCTGTGGGGAAACGCCTTCTGGCCGCAGAGGCGAGGCTCTAGTTCCCACACGAGCCACGCTTCTGTGCATCACTAGCTGGTCCCATAGTTGTGTGAGACGCTTTTTTGTGTGTGGAGTTTTTTTTTTTTTGGTAACAGGAATCGAACTCAGGACCTCTAGCTTGCCAGGCAGGCACTTACACTGCTGAGCTATATTCCCGGCCCTATGCAAGATCCTTTGGGTAAAAGTCACTGAGATCCCCCTCTAGGTATCTGTGCCACTACCTGTAAATCTATCATAGAAAAACATTTTTTAAATTCCATATAGGAAAAATCTTAGATTTCACACCCACGGCATGAGCAGCATGAGAGCAATGGAAATGAATTCTTTACTGCTTTTAAGGAGGCCAGCAAGAACCCACAGGCGGGGGGAGAAACCTGCCTAAGAGCATGACCACCTGGGCAGGAGTGTTCACAACAGCATGGAGCTCAGGAAGTGGAGAGAGCCCACGTGCACAAGTGTGTGCAAACCCCAGGCAGGCAACTGGCCACGTCCACTCCACGCATACCAACACCCATCCCACTGCGTACTGGAATATTACTTGCTCAGGAAAAGTAGTGGGGCTGTGTCACTGGGCACAGCATGGATGGACCTTGAGGACGCTGTGCCCAGTGAGAGGCACTAGACACAGAGGATGCACACAGTGGGCTCCCTGGACAGAAAACGCCCAGGACAGGTGACTCCAGAGACAGGAAATGGACTCAGGGGGCTGGAGAGGGAATGGGTGATTGCAATTCGGAAGGATGAGGCTTTCTTCTGGGTGATGGAACTAGGCAGAGGTGCTGTTCCATAAGTGACTAAGAGCCATTTCCATTGTACACTTTAAGTGAATTGTAGGACACATTTTTCAATAAGGCTGCTATATAAAAGTATATATGCTACATAAATAATAAAGCTATCCAATGCCCCTACAGAGCTGCTAGGTGCAACCCCACTGAATGTTAATGTAATTCATTAAATGGTAAAAAAATTTTATTTTTCTAAAAATTTTAAATTTCTTTTGATTTTTTGAGATGGGGTCCCAGGGTGGCCTTAAACTTCGGTGATCCTCCTGCCTCAGCCTCCCAGAGTGCTAGGATTCCAGGTGTGCGCCTCCACGCCTAGCCCTGACTCTCTGTTTTCATAAGGACACCAGAGCCAGCAATGGGGGTGCCTGTCTGTAATCCAGACACTCTGGGAGGCTGAGGCAGGAGGACTGCATGTTGGATGGACGACATCCTGTCTGTAAATAAAAATCACTGCCAAAAGGCCTGGGGTGTGTGGCTCACTGTGAAGCCCCCGGGTTCTGTACCCAGGTAATAATAATAATAATAGCAGCAGAATTCCAGATGATTCCAAGCTGCGCCCAGAAGTTGTGGCTCTTTTCGCAGGACCACAGGGACAGGAGCTTGGGGGCAAGAAGCTGTGAGCAGGCTGGCCAGCTCGGCCCCTCCTGTCTTCGCCCCAGGACTCACCGGCCAGGGCGGAGCCCCAGCTGCACGGGTGCCCCAACGCCAGGCTGGCGGGGCCACCCTGAGCCACTGCCACCGTGCGCACCCCGTCTCCGCCCTGTCCTGGACTCAGATTTGCCTTTTATAGCCTGGTTGATATTTAATCCCTAGAAGGGGTCAAAGGGCAGGAGGAGCCATGGCCCCAAGTGGAGGCTGCAGCACCCCTCTGCCATGCTGAGGCGCGGGGGTCACCAGCGAAACGCGAGGACCACAGCCAGATCGGAGGTCCCACGCCCTGAAAAGCAGGGGACACTGCTGGCCCCGCGGCAACCGGCCCAGCGCTTCCTGCGTGCGGGGCAGGCGGCTGTGGTGGTGCGGGCCTGTGATTCCAGCACTCAGGAGGCGGAGGCAGGAGGATCACTAGGAGTTCCAGGCCACATCCCGACTCACAGTAAACAAATAGCCCAGGCTGGACTGTAATTTGAGATCCTCCTGCCTCAGCCTCCCAGAGTGCTGGGATCACAGGTGTTTACTGTCACTCCGGGCTTCAGTTTTTATTTCTAAAGAGAGAGGTTAAATAGTTTGCTGTCCTCAGAGAAGTCTGTAGCCTTTCAAAGGGTATTTTTTATCTCTCTCCCATCTACTAGCTTTCAGGGGGCCCAGAGGCAGGCACAGACATGGGGC